GAATCCCTGAGGACCAATTCTGACAGCCAACTGACTGCTGTAGCATGCAGTCTGGACTACAAGCCAACCCTACTCCAGGTCCAGAACCCCATGGACACCTTCAAGGAGGTGGCATGCTACAGGAGCTCACCACTAGCCAGAAAGTGTGCGTGAGGAACTGCACCAAGCCTGGTGTGGGAGCTGGAAAGTGTGGCTGAAGGAAGATTTTAAAAGGCCTATAGACCTCCCTAGCCTTCCTACGGTCTAAACTCCCCATGTGACCTGCTACACCCCGATGCCAAGAATCCCTCAGTGATGGAGGCCGACCCGCTCAGCAGCCTGGAGATGACCAGACAATAGATAAGCCTGTGAACCCCCACCACCACCACCAACCTCAACCTTCAACTGAGAAGAAGACCCAGATCCCATCACCCATAAAGACAGGCATGAAATTGTCTTTTGCTCTTTGTTTTTTTTTATTAAGTATTTAGAGTTTAAAAAAAATGAACGTAATATATATTCATTATAAAACCTTAATAATATTAAGCATTTTTTAATTTTTATTGAAAGGCTCTCAGAGTTTGCTCATAGGGGGCAGCATGGTTTGAACCGTAGAGGGCGCCAAATTAAAAAAAAAGGAAAGAGGGCAGCTGACCGTACTGCCGGCCTTTTTTTTTTTTGGTCGGTGGCTTTCCCCCTACAGTAAGTCATTTTTTAAATTCCATTTGTATTTATTTTTGACACCAGCAATAGTTCTTCAAAGGTTTTATATATATATATATATATATATATATATATATTTTTTTTTTTTATTGAATATATATCAATATTATTTCCCTTTTTTTCTCTTACATCAATTTTGTTAATAAATTTTATTAGATGAAAAAATACTAGCCTATTAAATGCACAACCTTGACACCTAATGGGTACAAAATGTAATAGATATTGTGACAACTAGTTTCAAAGGTTGGCTTTCTGCAGTCTAAAAAAAAAGGGACAGCCGGGCAATAAAATAGATAAAAACACGTCCCAACAATTCCATTGAAAATACCATCGTTATAATGAACTTTCGACTTTTAAAATAACAAACTACCCCTATAATGAACCATTTTTGGTCCCAAAATATAATAAAATATTATTTAAAATACTATGCTTATAACGAATTTGAAATTGTAATTTTATAAAATTCACAACGACAAAATTTCGAGCAAGTTTCAGCTTAAGGATCACAAAACAATAAATTTAGAGGCATAAATTTTTACATTTTATACTTTTTATTAAAAAGAATATCTTTGCAATCATCAAATTTGAAATAGAAAAACGGCAAATGGCTTCCAAAATAAAGAAAACAAAGGCATTCTAAAAACAAAAATGTTATTACTAAAGGGAGGAAAAAAGGCCATTTCAAAACTTTTCAAAGTGAAAATCCACACGCAAAATTTCAGAACATGTTAAAATAAGAAAATGTAACTTTTATATTATAAGAGATAAAATAAAAGGCTATTAAAAATTGTTTAAAAAGAGGAATCAACCTCAACTTTCGTAGTATTAGGGCTAAAAAAAAAAGTCCAAATAAACGGCCCGTGATGCAACAAAATTATATTTTTATGCCATGAACTATGGCTAATTTAAAGCCAGCAATGGTTTACATGGCAGATTCAAACAAAAGGAAATCAAGACTTTAGAAAATGTGGAAACATGAAATATTTTAAAGGTGCAATGCTTGAAGAGTGCTTTGAAGCAACAAGGTATTAGAGCCATATTTTCAAATAAACATTGTATTATATAATGTGATAAAGATTTTTAAAATAATTTTATATCATTCAATATATATTTAATAAAACTTGGCCTAGGTCTTGATTTTTAAATTAGACATAGAGGTACATGTATGCTAATGATAAGATCCTATCATAAAATAATTTATTTTATTATCCAGTATTAATATAAGAAAATTGGTCATTTATGGGAATTAAAACAAAGTGACCACTATTATTATAATTATAAATTTTGAAAAGTAAAAAAAAAAAGCCAAACGGTGGCTATAGTGAACCAAAAGCTCTGTCCCATTGAGGTTCACTATAGAGGGGTTTTACTGTATATAGATAAATATGGGAACAATATTAGTGCATTAAAAATAAAATTGTTGATTAATTAACCTTTTAATGATTAGCAGGCCTTGATTCATTTGTTCCTAGGTTTCAAAAAATAGGCTGAAATAGGTTTTGACTCATTTTTTTCTGTCCTGATTTAGAAAAAGTCTTTATTTTTTCATGTGTAGAACTAATCATCAAAATTTGTTTCCCTATTTTGGAATCACCTTGTATATTAAAGGAAGGGTGTGGGTGTGTGTTTTATCAAATTACATGACATTTATAAAGAAAAACACCAAACAAATTGAAAATATACAACAATTTATTCAAATATAAAATCGAATATAAGTATATATTATGATGCATTAGCGGGCCATCTGTTATGAAAATTCAAAACTTTCATAGACGTCTATTTTACAAAAATTTGCAAAAGATTTTGATTGCAGTAAGGGCAGTAGAAATTGTTTAATATGTTAAAGAATTATAAATGTCACACATATATATATTTACAATAAAACCCCTCTAAAGTGAACCTCAATGGGACAGAGCTTTTGGTCCACTATACCCATAGTTTGGATTTTTTTTTTCTACTTTTTAAATTTTTCAGACCCTATAATTAAAGGACAGCCATACACACTGGAAGAGGCTGCCTCTTAATAGCGGTCATTTTGTTTTAATTCCTAAAATTGACCAATTTCCTTATATTAATACTGAATAATAAAAGAAATTATTTGATGATGGGTTCTTTTTATCAATAGCATACTGGTACATCTATGTCTAATTTAAGGGGGGGGTCGGTGGAAGGCTGGTTGAACCGTTTGGTTTTGACCACTACGACCCGGGTTCAATTCCCGCATTGGACACTTTTTATGTTTAAAAAAAAAAAAAATGCTCCAATGGCCCCCCGATTCTTGCAAAAGTCCAACCCCACCAGAGAGTGCAAGTAACCAAACGGGGCTCTGGCACATTTGTAAGTGCAAAGTCGAACTGCTTTCACATGTGTAGACATGTGGTGCGCTTACAGTAAAAAGCAGTCGCTAACTACCCACCATGATTATCATGGCCTGTACCACGTGTACTAGGGATAAGCAAAAAAAAAATGTCTAATTTAAAAATCATGACAAATCCTAATCAAAGTTTTATTAATTCAAAGATATAAAATGATTTTAAAAGATCTTTAGCATATTATATTATACAATGTTTACTTGGAAAAATTGCTCTGATACCTTGTTGCTTCAAAGCACTCTTCAGGCATTGACCCTTCAAATAAAATTTAATGAGTGTTTTTCTTCCATTTCATGTTTCCACATATTCTTTTTAAGCCTATATTTAGTTTTGAACCTGTCATGTAAGCCATTGCTGGCTTTAAAAATCGCTATAGTTCATAACAAAATAATAATTTTTGTTGGATCATGGGCCAATTCACTTTGTCATTTCAAAACATCTTGTTTTGTTTTTAATCATTTCATAAATATTAGGTCATTCACTCTGAAATTCAATAATTTACAATATATTAAATTGTAAATAACTTCAATTAACAATTTTTTTTCAATAAATGACATTTGGTTTAGCGATCAACAATTTACAAAAGAATTAGAAATTGTTAAAGCCAGATTTCAAAATTTTATCAAAAAGAAATAAATCATTAATGAATTTTTAAAAATGAGTTTATATATGTATATATATCAATAGATGGCGTCTGGTTTTAGACGTCTATTTTGACGGGAGAGGCGACCCTTGTCTCTTTAGATAAATTTCCTCCCTGCAAAATTTCTATCTATATATATATATATATATATATATATATACAGTCGAACTTGGATAATTCGAACCCCAAGGGACCATAAAAAAATTCGAATTATCCAAAAATTCGAATTAAAAACGGAAATTTTATTTATTTCAAATTCTAGGGACCAAGATAAATATTCGAATTAAAGAGGTTTTCGAATTAAAGAAGTTCGAATTATCCAAGTTCTACTGTATTATATAATCTAAAAACTCAAATATTTCTATATTTTAAAAATATATATATTTTATTTCATTCATTGATAATTTTACTTTGTTATCATCGTTTTTAGAAAGACTTTCAGTTTTGTTGTATAGTTTTTTTGTAAATATGCGTAGTTAATATATCAATCCTTTTAAATCACTAATATAGGATTAACTTTATAAATTCTATATTATGTGAAAATAACTAATGTGTAATATTTCCTCAAGTAATTGAAAATAAAAGCTACTTGACGGTAAATAATTATCTTTTTTTTATCACGACTGCACCTCAACCCTTTATCTTATCGATCCTTAGTTTTATCAAGCCTTATCTAACAACAACAACAAAATATTCATAACATATATATACAGTTAAACCCCGCTAATACGAACCCTGGATATAGCAAACCTTCCCCTATAACGAACCCACGGCGATTCCCAATTCCATTACATTGAAAATACCATCGTTATAACGAACTTTGCGATTTTTAAAATAACAAACTACCCCTATAACAAACCTATTTTCGGTCAAAAATGATATAATATATTTAAAATACTAGGCTTATAACGAACTTTTAAAATTGTGATTTAAAAAAATTTGAAAACAACAAAATTTGAGCATGTTTCAGCTCACGGATCGCGATTTCAAAACAAAAAATTAGCGGATTTGTTTGTTTTCATTTCCATTCTATTTATGCTGTACTAGCCGAATGACCCGGGCAACGCCCGTGTTTTACCCGACTGTAGATGTTACAACGGTGATCCTTAGGTCGCTGGTTCAAATCCGGCTCGAGGGAGCCGGCGAGCATGTGACCTCCCTGTGCGTGCGCATCCGTGACAGAGGCCGATGAGGAAAGACGGTCGTGACTATATATATATACATTTTGTGTAGAAATAGGATTAGTTGACTTTATAAGGTAAACTTATTCATACAGTTTGTATCCCTCGATAGCTCAGTTGGTAGAGCGGAGGACTGTAGATGTTACAACGGTGATCCTTAGGTCGCTGTTCAAATCCGGCTCGAGGGAGTTTTTTTTTTTATTGGCTGCCGGCGAGCACGTGACCTCCCTGTGCGCGCGTATCCGTGACAGAGGCCGATGAGGAAAGACGGTCGTGACTATATATAGGGATGTTGAATAAATTTTTACACATTATACTTTTATTTTATAGAATATCTTTGTACTCAAAAATTTTGAGATAGAAATGGCTTCCAAAATAAAGAAAAGAAACAAAGAATGGCTTTCTAAATAAAAAAACAGTGGCAGCATGCCCTTTTGGAAGCGTTCTATATCAAGTTTAACATAGCTAAAAAATAATTCCAAATAATTGTAATGCCCGAAATGGTTTGAATAACAGGTTAAATACAAAATTTAATCTATACTTCAGAATAATATGTGGAAACTGGAATTGGAAGAAGAAGAAAAAAAACAATGCCTGTGTCTCATGGGCCACAAACAAATCGACTTATAAATTCTTAAAAACTAATTATTAGAACGGAAGCCTTGTTAGGTATATGGCTCATTCAGGGTTCGCGGATATTCCCCCTGGCCGGCTGTTTTACTACCGATTTTGTATTTGCAAATTGGCGTCTTTTTATTTGCAATTTTACCGATCGCGCTATCATATCAACAGGTTTTGCGTCACGATTTTTCTGAATTGGATACTTTTGATTCATCTTCAATTGATTCAGAATACACAGAGCTTTATTCTTTTGATGGAAATAACGATATTTTAAGACAAATCTGATTTTCAAATTTTATTTTTCACTTTCAAACAACATTAGAGGTATTTTTTTCAAATAAATGTATTATTATACTATTTACACAAGGTAATAAGACCAAATCCAAATAAATAAATAGTGTGTGACCTTTCAGTAACAGTGTTGCTACCATCTTTAGACAAAAGTACTGAATGAACTTTTAGTCTGAAGATGGTAACAACGCTGTTACCGAAACGTCACACACTATTTATTTATTTGGATTGGGTCTTATGACCTTGTGTTTATAATCTATAATCCAAATTGTGCCTTATCTATTATACTATTTGAGAAAGATGTTCTAAAATACTCATATACCTTTTAAATGTATAATTAATAAAGTTTGGCCTAGGGGATTTCCCTTAATTTTTAAATTATACATAGAGGTTTATATATAAACATGTTTACTAATGATAAGAAGAACCTATTACCAAATGGCTTCTTTTGATATTCAGCATTACAGTAAATAAATAGGTCAATTTAAGGAAATAAAACAAAGTGACCCTTAATAAGTAGCTGCTTTTTCCAGTGTGTATGGCTGTTTTTTAATTATACGCTCTAAAAATTTAGAAAAATAAAAAAAAAGGCCAAACCGTGGCTATAGGGAAACAAAAGCTCTGTTCTATTGGGGATCGCTATAGAGGGGTTTTACTGTAATATGCCTATAATTTCTAAAAAAAAAAATATTAAATTTAACTCACAACCTAATTTAAATAATTCTTCAAATTCTCAAAATAGTTTATCATTGTTTAATATAAATTTACATCCTCCTTTAATTGAAACTGTATGTAAATGAGATTGAACTTTTAGCTGAAATTAATACATTACTACTTTAACTAAATGTTTTAAATATTTTTTTAAATATTGAGTTAAACAAATGTGATACCATCTTAACAGGCTATAGTGGCTCTAAAATACCTATTTTAGGTAAGGCTAAATTTGAAATAAAATTTAGAGATGTTTCTAGGCTGATTGATATACTTGTAACTGAGTTAAATTTCTCTAAATTTCTTTTAGGAAGAGATTTCCTTATTTATTTTGATATTTCTTTAAATTATTTACATAAGTTGAACTCTTTTAATGTGGAGTCACTTATAAATGATTATAAATCCATTTTTGAATACAAATCTGGCCCTATTAAAAGTATCAAAGGCCATCTTGATGTAAAAGCTGACTTTATCCCAAAGTTTTACTAATTCAGACAAGTTCCTTTTGCCTTAAAACGACTAGTGTAAGATGAAATTGATAAATTGGTTGATTTAAATATTTTGTCTCCTATAGATAGAAGTGATTGTGCTTCTCCACTTGTTTTTGTTGCAAAACCAGATTGTCAAATTAGACTTTGTGCTGATTTTAAAAAGAGTTTAATTCCTTATTTAGAGGATGTTAAATATCCTATCCCTAACATTGATTCAGTCTTAAGTAATTTTCAAGGAAATAAATTATTTACTAAATTAGATTTGTCAAAGGCTAACAATCAAATTGAGATGGATGATAATTCAAAAAAGTATTTGGTTGTTTCCACTCACAGAGGTCTATATAAATATAATCGTTTGGCTTTTGGTATAAAAACTGCTTTTGAAATATTTCAGAAAACAATGGAATCCTTTTTCTCGGGAATCAATGATGTTTACATTTTTGATGATATTCTTATTGCATCAGAGGACTTGGAAAACCATTTAGATATTTGTAAAAGAACACAAGGTAATAAGGCCAAATCCAAATAAATAAATAGTGTGTGACGTTTCAGTAACTGTGTTGTTACTATCTTCAGACAAAAGTATTGAATGAGAAATTTTACCACAGCATGGCTCAAATAGTTACTCTTATCAAATGTGTAAACAAGATAGCAGATAAGAATAAGATAATTTTTTTTCTGAGAAACACAGATAATTATTTTCAGAAAAAAAGTGGATAAAACCCACCTTTTTTTTAGATATAATTAAAAGCATATCTATAAATATCATTTATATTTCCTCTTTCTTCCATTCTGTTAATTGTAGCACATTTCTTTTGAATGAAAAAGGCTTCTTTAAATTGTCTCTTGAAATAATTTTTCTCATAATCTAGTATCTTTGCTTCTTTTAGATTAAAAAAAAAAGTGGATTTTTTCCACTTTTAATTCAAAGAATTATTATCTGTTTCTCAGAAAATTATCTTCTTATCTGCTACCTTGTTTACACACTTGATAATAGTAACTATTTAAACCATGCTGTGGTAAAATTTCTCATTTATTATCTTACGTAGACTTCAGAGGTACTTGGACAACTCTAACTTCATCATCCCGCAGCAATTCGGATTTAGAAGGGGGCATTTAACAACTCACCAACTCATTGCAGTTATGGACTACATCCAGATAAGAAGATCCTACAAGTGGTAGGTGCTGTCTTTCTAGATTTTGCAAAAGCATTTGATAAAGTTTGGCATAATGGCCTTATAAAGAAACTCACAAAACACCAGTTTCCAAGTGACATTATCAATTTTATGCAGAATTATCTACAGGGCAGGACATTTTCAGTCAAGCAAGGAAATTTTATAACTGAACCAAAGCCAATCCAGACGGGAGTGCCTCAAGGCTCTATCCTCTGACCCTACCTTTTCAATATTTACATTAATGACATCCCACTGCACTCTAAATGTAAACTTAAGCTCTTTGCAGATGACACAGCAATTTTATTTAACTCTAAATCAGTCGGCCTATTGGTTACTCAGCTTCAGAATTACCTAAATGAAATAATCAAATGGTGCGATGAGTGGAAACTAGACATTAACCCAACTAAGACTCAAGCAATAGTTTTTCCCCCAAGAGATAACAAAAAATTCAAGCCACAAACCAACTTGACAGTAAACACAAGCACTATTAGTTGGGCCGACCATGCCAAGTACCTTGGTGTCACTTTGGATTTGAAATTAAAATTTTACCTACATGTCCAAAACACCATAAGAAAGGCAAAGATAGCCAAAATATCTCTATCAAGCCTGCTTAATTTTAAAAGTAATTTAACAACAAAGCATTAATTCACGTTGTACAAAACCTGTATTCTACCCATCATTATGTACGCACTACCAGTCTGGGGCAAATATATCACACCTACGGTAAAAAAAGAATAGATGCCTTCATGAGGATTTGCTTACGAATAACTATAGGAGCCCCATTCAATCTTTCAAACGAAATCCTCAAAGAAGATCGCAACCAGCCTAATATAGAAGAGATTTATCAAGACTCTGCGACAATACTATTCTCGCAATTTCAAAAATCATCAAATCCAACTATACAAGAAATTGTTGAAAATCAAGGTGACCTCAGCCACCGAATCCGATGACCTGGACCCAATGGCTAGCTGACAGCCAAACACCCAAAAACTGCCCTCCTGTAAGGTTCGGGGGGCCACTCCAGCATTACAACTCGCCATGTGTAAATAATCTGGACAAGGTGACTCTTGAGAATAGAATGGTTATTCCCAAAAGTCTACATGAAAAGGAACTTCAATTATTACATGAGAGTCATGCAGGGACTAATAAAATGAAATTGATGGCTCGTTCATCTATTTGGTGGCCCGGCATGGACTCTTCAATAGAAATAATTACAAAAAATTGTAGAACTTGTCTTTCTAATGAAAGTTTGCCTCATCAAAGGACTAAGAGTTGGCCTAAATACACAGGACCGTGGAGGAGTGTTCACATGGTCTATTTCAATTTCAAAAATAAACTGTTTTTACTAGCAGTAGATTCATTCTCTTAATGGGTTGAAGTTTCTGAAGTGCATATTTTTGTATAAATTTTATGAGAAATTGTAGGAGGGCTTTGTTCTTTATAAGGACAGATGTGAATATTTGAAATGGGACATCACCAGCGGAACTGTTTCTTGGAAGAAAGATCAGATCAAGACTTTCTGTGTTGTCAAAAGAAAAATTCTATGTGTTAACAGTAAATTTAAAGTGGATGAGACTGTGAAATTTAGATGGATCACTAATAATTATCCCTCATGGGTATACAGGAAAGATAATTAAAATACTAGGAAGGAATGTTTATTTAGTAAAACATGGTGACACAAAGAAAAAAGTTCATCAAACCTACATTTAAAAAATGTTGCCTGATAAATCACATCCCACTAATATGGATAATGATGAATGTGTGCCAACTCCAATCTCAGAGGAGAAAAGTGTTACAACCCCCAGGTACCCTCAGAGGAAGTGCAGATGTCTACAGAGAGATATAAAAAAATTATTTTCAAAAATAAATAAAAAAGAGGGGCCAAGCCTAAGAAGGGGG